CCCCAAAACCCCAAAACCCCAAAACCCCAGCTCATGAGATCTTATCATAATATAATTAATAATGATCCCAAGAATATGAGGATTTGCTACAAACTCAGTAGCAAGGTTCAATCGATACGAGAAGGTGATGTCCTTCAAGACCAAGGCTAGAAGCAGATGCCTAGATTTCCTGGGAGGCTGTCTGACCATCACTACTTTGGTCCTGATCATAGCATACGGAACATTCTTGTTCGTCAGACTAATGAAGAGATCAGATTTCAGGTATGGACCTCTTTGCTTCATGGTTAATTTTATAAGTCTTTTTTTCAGTTTTATTAGAATATCGGTAATTTAAAATACTTCTTGGCCGAAAAAAGACTCATGATGTGTCTTCCTAATTTTGGACACGGTTTATTTTTATTGGAAATTTAATCTTAATTATTTGAAACTTAATAGAAAATTCTCTAATAAAATTATGGAATAGCCGAAAAGGCACAGTTATGACATATCTTTTATGTTTCATAGTTACTAACTCTCATAAGGTCTTCTTTCAAATTTAATTCTGAATTATTTTGTGCAAATCTTATGGAACATACTTAATTTTTTGAAAAATCTATGCCCAAATAAACGCTTGAGGTTTGCTGCCAAATTATGTTGCTAAAATGTCGAGCAAATGCCCGTCTTACCTCAATCCATAGTGTCTAGATTAGTGCCTTTAGTGAGGAAATACTAGGAACAAGTAACTTAATATTTACAGTTTCAAAAAATTAAGATCCTTAGTCCACGTTATTAAATTAATAATAGTCTTTTGTTTCATTATTCTAAGCAGAGCTATTGACTGCTTCATGTTCATAGTAAGTAGACTTTAACAACATCATATTTCAGAGTTTTGTCTACTTTAGCATACGAAATTTATATGTGGGTTGGCTCAATAAAATTTTCACAAACATTGGATTGGTTTTAAAATTGTAAACCGCTATTTCTCATAAGTTGATATTTTGCACATTTGAACAGATTATCGGGGCCAACTTTAGCAATCAAAAATGCTCTCAATGAATGCTTTAAATAAGTTAATTCAAGCTATGTGATATCAACATTATTTAGTGGGTAAACCCTTTGCTTATGCCATTCTTTATCATAAACTGGCATAAAAAAAAGTACGAATATGAGCTTCTGGTTGAAAGCTATTAATCTCTCTATAAACTTGTCAAATTTGCTGAGCTTAAACCATTAGTCTAGCCTGTCTAGTGTTGAGACTTCCTTGACTGTTATTTTGACCTTAGAATTTAGGAACATACTCTTCCATTGAACTTTAGGCGATTGGGAAGAAGTTGATCATCATTGGTAGATATTAATATCGCATGTTTTTATTGAGTTTTGACAATTTAAAAACAAACTTTTATATCTCAAAGCTTGCCATATTCCATAAACTTAGCACTAATTTGATATTCTTTGGCTGATTTAGTGTGCTGCTTTTTATCAGAGTGTCAATTAAAGAGAAAAATTATTCAATTCTGTGACTCTTGCTGTTTTATGGCTGTTTCCAAAATAAAATGAGTACTTTGATTAGTATTGGACAGTGCTCTGCTTTAGAAAACAGCAAGCTTATGGCAGATATTTAAAAATATTTGGCATGCTTGTAGAGCAAACCATCTTGCAATTACTCACAATTGAAACGAGTAGTTGATTAAGATAGGATATGTATCAGAGTGGATCTAGTCTTATAAAGTGAAAATCCAATTACCAAATGCTAAAACACCTTAAACTATGAATTTTGATATCCTTCTGTTAATTTAAATAGCGCTTCTAAACTATGCAATCTCTGTAGTGACTAGAGCTTTCTCGAATTAAGCCAAATACTGCGACAAATTATGAAAGCTTGAGATTATTATGAGTTGATTGGCCGTTTAATAAGTATAATTAGTCTAGTTCATTCAAAGCACTTCGAAATTCTTTGCCAAATTAGGAACATATTACTCTCACAAAGTGCAGTTGTAAGTGACCAATACTTATTCTGTTCCAGCTCATAGATAAGTTTGTTCACAAATTAGCTATAAAATAAGGCAATTTTAATAGTTTGTGTAATCAAAACCTCAAATTCTTTGAATTCCATTAGGAACACAGTCTCGCATCCCATTAAAATTTGAGCAATAGTATATCCTCGAAATGGAAAAATCTGAAGAAAGTACTAAAATGTTTATGACTCTCAATAAATGCTTTTCCCTTCAGATTTATAGTCCTCTAGATTGTGCTTAGTTGCATCATCTTTTAATTTGTATAGCTTGAATCAAACCATTGAAAAAATCCAAGTTGCAGACGATGTAAGCCTCATAGACATCACTCCCTTTGATGATATCGAATTCAGACTGAATGTAATTAAAACTGGTGGTTATAAAGAAAATCCTGCAATTCCTTTGGATGAAGCTTTGAAATTTATTGGCATTAAAATTTATAAAATCAATGGACGCAGGTATAAGGATATATAACCGAAACATTCCAATCCTTAGATTGTGAGGAATCTTCTCTCACGAGTGACAAAAACACAGTGAAATCTCTTTGACTTAAACTAGCCAATACCCAAATAACTAAGGAAGGTGAAGGCACTCTTAATAGTGGAGGGCTCAAGATTAGGGTCTTTCATTGCCTTGAAAGTGTCCATAATGGCATCTGTGATAATCCTGAAATAATGAAAAGCCTCATTTCGTATTATAAAGTGGATCTAAGGGTTGCCAGTAAGTATGTCGACTTGAATGACTTTGAAAATCCTATTAAGAGTTACTCTGAAGCACTTGATGAATGGAAGCTCTATCCTAATATAGAATTTGAGACTACTCATTTTATCCAAAGGCAAGAGGTGTATCTTGAAGACTCTTTATTTCCAACTTTGATAGAGCCTGAACCAATAAAGTTCAACAAGGTTAGCAAAAAGGAGAGCTCCCAGTTTCGGATAATCTATCGAGATATAGAGTCAAATAATTCTCATATGATGTTTTCTACAATTATTCGTTTAAGTGATGAGGTCTTTAAGTTTCGCAGAAAGACATTTACACTGATGGAGCTAGTAGGTACTATTGGAGGCATCTTCGAAATCTTTGAAGTCATCTTTGCTCTAATCCTTGGAATTCTCTATAAGTTTTACTTCAAGAAATTCTTAGCCAGCGAGGTTCAGAAATACTCAGTGCAGCTGGATGAAACTCAAAAAGAATTAGAACAACTCAAAGCTATTTGCAATGCAAATTCTGAGTTGCTGAGAAATACTCATCAATCTACTAAAAATAGAGCCATAAACAAGCTGGACAACATTACTGAGGAACAAAATTTCCAAAAGGAACATCTTAAAGAGAATAATTGCGAAGAAAAGAAGTTGAAAGATAATGAACCTGAGGAACAAAAAGAAGAATTCAAAGATATTGATAAAGCTCAATTTAAAGGCTTCTATTATAAAGAAGAATCTCTATCTACTCTCCAGAAGAAAACCTCAAAAGTGTGCCCCGAAGTATTTTTAAATGAAGGAGGCCAGGAAGAGCATGCCCAAACATATATATCAAGCTTATAGTAAACTCTGAATACACAAGCTTCAAAGAGATCCTGGATACCCTGGACGAGCAGAGAGACTGTCTGAGCATTCTCTTCAGAATCAGAGAACTTGAAGTCAAGATTAACTACTTATTAAGCAGAGACATAGACTATGTTAAGCTCAAGAAAGGAAGTATCAACTCTGAAAGCATTAAGAATAAAATGAGAGGAAATTTGAAAAATAAAAAGGTAAGGATACAGTAAAAGTATTAACCACATCGATTGATTCTAGATTAATAATTGTCTGCTCATCATTTTATCGTTATTTCAAAATTAAAACTATTAAGTAGCTATAAACTCTTATCTAGGCTCGAGAAAAACTTAAGGAAGAACCAGGAGAGGAGTCATTCCATCAATTGCTGGAGGAAATCCCTAATCATGCAAAATTGCGTCCAATAAAGGCAATTAACTCTAAAAACAAGGTAAATAACATATAAAATTTGTAAAAAAGAGGTTTACTTCATTAAGTAGAACTTTCATCTTCTAAAAGTATGCATGAGTAATCTTCCAAGTGTCCTAATTTCGTCTCTAACTTGGTGTCTAGACACCTCTGACTCACAGTTCTTACCCACAAAACCAGTCCACGATCAACCCCGAACACAGAGGAGGTCAGATTCGCCTGCTGCAGTACAAGCTTGAAGACTGCGAATATTTGTAATTGGTCAATCTGGATCTATCACCGTGGGGTTTTGGGGTTTTGGGGTTTTGGGGTTTTGGGGTTTTGGG